ACCCCGACGCCCTGCAGGTCGGTAAGAGGACCCCCATCCTCTTCTCGCTGCTTTCCGAGTCCTGTCATGACCTTTGTTCTCTCATTTATGATTTTGTTAAACCTCAGCAACTTTTGGTGCTTCCCCATGATCATATGTGAATATTAAACATACAGCACAGATAAAATATTCTTTCCATCATGCATTCACGTCAAAGGGAACCGCTTACCTGTATTTAAGAGCAACAAGTACTTTTAAGGTCCTTTTGAGAACTTTTTTTAGAATATGCTGAGGAGAATACAGCAGGGAGTTGATTGAGTGCAGTTATCATTTTATAAGCTGTCACCATATTAGTCACATTAATGTCTGTTTCCACAATGAGTGACCTGGGTATTTTGATACTCAGCTTTGGCAGCATAACAGCCCATGAGATATCGCATAACTCGTACTTCACGCAGTATGCTTTGGTTATGTAACTCCAAATGAAAAGCGAGTACTCGGGAATGGGGCAATAAAGCTGGGTCTCCAGTTCGGAGCACTGTATATCTTCCCTTTAAAGAAAGAAATCATTTTTGCCGTCTTCCCCAGCAGTTTTGGGGTTGAAGGTTTGAATTGGTGTGGGAGAAAGATTATTTATTTACAAACATGAAATTTTTGCGTTCTTTTTTCAGCTATCTCTTAAAAGCTTTTTCCATCCATTGTGGCGGTACTATTGCCACTGTGTCTTTAATGTGAAAAACGGATTAAGCCATGAAGGAGCCCATAGTATTGCCCCTATTTCTCCTAAGGTCTCTGACATCTTAGGAATTAGCTGTAATTGTTTAGCCGTCGTATGTTGCTGTGCCAAATTTATATCTACTTTTGCCATGTATGAATCCTTCTAGTGTGCCAAACCGGAACAGGTGGTTTCATCGGATGCTTTTATCTCGCTATAGTATTGAAGTAGCGGAGAGGAAGATATGCTCTTCTAAGATTATAAACTTTTTTAATTATTGGTATTCTAGTAGTGCAGAAAAGCAGAAAAAGAAATTATTTTTAAGACGAATGCGAACACTGATAGAACTGATGTTGCATTAGTAGCGTTTTTTATGGTTTTGGATTGCTTTTAAAATCCTAATTTAAATACTTTTTCTAACGAGACATGACCTCTTCTTCTGAACGATTTTTTTTTTTGAATGACTCACAAAACTCTTGCCATTTTTACCAAGAGAAACAGTCTTGTTCAGGCTTGCGAGTTTGGGGATGGAGACATAATTTGACTGGATCTATTGATTTCTATTCTGTGTCTTCAAATATGGAAGCTGGTTTATAGCAAAACGCAATGGATTATAGGAAAATCAGCGTTTAGCAAAATGCAATTATTAATATCGGATGGAATACGGGTGGAATGGGTTACTTCTTCTCTAGCAACAGAAAACTATAAAACCACGAAAATATATCATTACGAGATAATGGGGAGTGGTTTTATTAAGCTGCCAATGAAATTAGCAACGTGAAGCTGTGTGGCCAAAATGAGTAACCTGGATATTTCAACACGTAGTCATGTCAGCCTTGTAGCCCATGAGATATCGCATACCTCATACTTCATACAATCGGTCTTCTCCCTCCCGCCAAGTTCTAATGCGTTATTAATGCGAGACCGGGGGTAGACCCGCGTCGGACTCTGGTGCACTGTAGGTCTGTAAGCGTCTCAAATCTCTTAGTCTTTGTGTAAAGTCACAGCATTTGTTCTTTGGTTTGCATTTTTTTTTGTTGCGATGGGAACGTACAGTGTCTTTGCCATGAAAGGAAGAGATAATATTGATTCCCCTAAACCAAGGGGACGTGGAACTTCTTGTTTGCTAGCAGTTCCCTCGTGGCAACAGATTCTCACTTTGTGGTGATTAGTGTCTGCTGACAATCACGGTTTTCACAGGTACTCACACAGGTACTGGTTAGTTCTTTTTGCTTATTTTATTTTATCTTTTATTTTATTTTTTTCTGAACTCCTCCCTTTTGTTGTTTGACCCAGTTGAAAACTTCTTAGCAGGGAATTCTAATCGTGTGCTCGTGTACTTTTTCCGCCTGCATTTGTCCATATTTTCTGTTCTCTGTTAACGGATTAGCCCCTATCCTGCAGCTTTAATAGACTCCGATTCGCATCAGTGAAGGAGGGATGCTCCGGAGACGGCGATTTCGTGCATTTCTGCCATTCAGGGTGCAGGTGCTCCCTTCTGCTTTCTGGATACTGATGAGGGGATGGGCTGGATGCACGTGGTTTTCACACATGCATTTGCATATCGTCGTAAGATGCCTAGCAAATTTTTCTACGTGTTTCCTTTTGTTTTTTTTTTTTTCCTTTATTTTTTCGTGCGGTAAAGAGGATGTATAGAAAACCTCAGAAGAACTCGTTGCCTTCCTACTTTTAATCGTTGAAGAAAGGAAAGGTTCTATAAATTTCCAGTGAAAGAAACTACAGATGCAGAAAGTATATGCCTTCTGGAAACATTAAGTCCTCAACCCTGAATTTTTATCCGCGCCTGTCGTGCGGGCTAGGCGTGGAAATTGCAGCGTCCGCGCTGCTGTGGAGAAAACGGTGCCTGCAGTTCCACACGGAGGCTGCGGGCGCCGCTGCTCACCAA